TTGTTGATCAGAAAGGTCAGCAGTTCAGCGGTTCGAATCCCTAGCGCTGCGTAATGGAGTGAGCGCCCGTTACTTGTCCCAGCTTCTGCCAGCCTAGCAGTTTGAAAGCACGTAAAAAATGCAAGTAGAAAAATAGGGATTACTTTTGGTGGGAAGGTAACAGCGTTCCGTGCGCCTTTGGCATTTAGTCATGCCAGCCACATGGCCACGGAGATGTCTTTGGACAACGCTGGCTCTTTGGCTTTGAAACTGAGATGAGCACTGCCCCCTAGAGTTGGGAATAACTAGCACGTATATGCGAGGGGAACCTTTACCTTACCTTAGAAAACAACAGTGGGAAGGAAATTATTGTTCTCAGGTGCTTTGGTGGACTTCTCTGGAAGGAGAGCCGAGGTGATGCAGTGGTTAGGGTGCAGTACTGCAGCCACTTCAGCTGACTGTTAGCTGCAGTTCGNAGATATTGGAAGACTGCTATCATGTCTCCCCTAGTCCTTCTTTTCATCAAACTAGGCATACCCAGTTCCTGCAACCGTTCCTCGTATGTTTTAGTCTCCAGTCCCCTAATCATCTTTGTTGCTCTTCTCTGCACTCTTTCCAAAGTCTCAACATCTTTTTTACATTGTGGCAACCAAAACTGGATGCAATATCCCAAGTGTGATCTTAACCAAGGCATTATAAAAGTGGTGTTAACACTTCACCTGATCTTGATTCTATCCCTCTTATTAGTTCAGAGATTATTGTTAAAAGCAGCAGGGGATGAATTGGAAAACCTGTTTAAGATGGCTGAGTAAGCGCAATTGAGGAATGAATCTCAATCAATTGCATTCAGTAGGATGAATGGATTGCTTTCCAGCAGATTTTGGTGTGCTTATTAAGGACAAAAGACTCCTTCTTGATTCTTACTACTTCGCTACTTTTTGAGACAGGAGAAGTCATCAAAACTAAAAGCCAATTTTGCAAATTTCCCATGTTCTTATCTGATATTACACAAACTTGGGGCTATTAGAAAACAGTAATACAAATGCTTGTTTATTTTCAAGGCTGCAATTTTATTGGAAATCCTAAGATTTCATTGGAAATCACAAAAAAGAGTCAACTCTTTTTCCCCCTCACTCCCCAGATTTTATTTTTATCTTGTGATTTATTATCATCAATGACAGGTCAGCTTGAGGAAGAAGTATAAGATGCTAAACAATAGAACAAAGAAAACAGTTTTGTAGTATTCTACTTATATAATTTTATTTTTAATATTGTAAGCCGCCCAGAGTAACTTACCCTCAGTAAGATGGGCGGCCAATAAATTTGATACACAGGTAAGTAAAAAATAAAATACATAAGAAATAATCAAATTAGTACCAATCAACATAAAAAGGATGAAGATCATGAAAATATCTAAAACATGTGGTCTGGCTTTGTCCTAAAATCAAACCAAATTGCTGCAGAATAAGCTAAAATGGGACACGGTGGCTCAGTGGCTAAGACGCTGAGCTTGTTGATCAGAAANTAGTAACAAATCCCAACACTTGTTACAATTTTATGCGTGTAATGAGGAAGAGACAGAATAGCCTACAGAATAGCTTACATTGTAGATTGTACATAGATTGGTTCGATATTTTTGTCTAGAACAGTGTGGAGAAAACACGCAATGGCAAATGACTTCAAGCAAAATTATGAGATGGCTTTGGATCAAAACGTTCTCATTGGGATGGTAGAGAAAGAGGTATTGAGGTATCAGAATTTTTGGACTATAGAATTCCATAGTGTCAGGCTCAAGAAATTGGGAGCCGAGGTTGTTCAAATGAGTTCAAATTTAAACCATGCTAGTGTAGGTCACTAGAAGAATCTGAAGTACTAATAGTCAAGGCAGAATCAACGGAATTCAAGAAGGGCTGGACTTAGTGGGCACGAAGGTACTCCAAACTGATGATGTACTTAATCCCTCCCTCAGTGGTCATCTCCTACACATAGCTCTCTAGGTATCATCATCCTTTGTTCAGGAAGGTGCCAAGGTGGACACCATAATCAACAGCAAAATCTGCAGGTAAAATAAAATATTAGCTGCTCACTCCATGTGAACACTTCAATCTCTTTCTGGACCGTGGCTTTGTCATTTGCTTTAATATGTCTGTTCTGTTTAGTTAGTCTGTTGGTGTGCATTTCTAAAAACAATCGAGCTGAAAATCAATATGTAAGCATATTCTTAATTGCATAATTTTATGCACTTGTTCACAAAAAAAAATGTGGGTTTATTTATATACCTCAGTACTGAAGGAGCAGAGAGGGTCGTCCTATTCACCAAAGCACCTGAGGGGGCAGGACAAGAATTAAGGCATGGGAGATCATTAAAGAGAGCAAAACCTAGAATTAAGGAGAAATTTCTTGACAGAACAATTATTCAGTGGAATAGCTTGGCCCCAGAGGTTGAGGGTGCTTCATCACTGGAAGTTTTCAAGTAAAGACTGGACAGTTATTTGCCCAGAATGGTATAGAGTCTTCTGCTTGAGCAGGAGAACTAGACTCCAAGGTCTCTCCCAACCCTTTTAATCTATGTTCTATCGTCTATATCAGGGATGGCAAACCTTTTCGGCACCAAGTGCCCAAACCGGAATGTGTGTGCATGCATTTACATGCGCCAGAGTGCCATAAACCCAAAGACCAGCTGGCCGGTATTCACATGGCTGTGTTTTGGCCATTTTTGGCTGTTTATTGGGCCATTTTCAGGCCATTTCCGGGCCAAAAATAGCCTGAAAATGGCTCGAAAACCAGCCTGAAAATGATTCGAAAAACCAGCCTGGTTTTTTGTGGGGGCCGTTTTCAGGTCATTTTCTGGTGTTCCAGCACCCGCGAAGACCAGCTGGCGACTGTGTCCATGCCCACAGAGAGGATTCTGTGTGCCACCTCTGGCACGCATGCCATAGTTCCGCCATCACAAGTCTATATAAATGTATTATATGGATCCATATAAATGTTCAAAACATAGTTGCATCTATTGAGCCAAGAATGGCATACAGCTCAGAAAAACAGAAAAACAGAAAAACAGAAAAGCAAAAAAAGATTGTAGAGCCTAAACCAACCTTGCGTGTCCAATCACACTTGGCCAATAAAGAATTCGATTCGATTCGATTAGCTGTGAAAGTGTGCATCCCAGCCACTTCCAAGTAGAATTCATCAAGACCTATTTTCTGAAGTATCCCAAACTTAGGAAGTTTTGTATTGATTTAATGCTTTTTGTAGAAAGGGGGGAGGGGAATATATGGTGTTCTAGTTAAAGATTGCTTTTTCTTATTATTATGAATTGAGGAGGGTTTATATCAGGGATGCACAGATTTGCTGCTATCAACCCCTGTGCTTCCAAATGTTGCTGAAAGTGAGAAGTTGTGATTTCTGGTAGGATAAAAGAGCCTTAGTATTTTGGCAAGAGGGTGATTTTTTCCTAACCATATCCAGAAGAAGGGCTAAGGGGAATATGTTTTACCTTAGAATCAATTTTCAGTTCTACTTCGTTGAAGGTGAAAGCTGGGTGACAATTCAGAGGTAGGGAGACAGTGAAAAGATACAGATTAGACAGAAGTTAAGATGCTGGAGCCGAGATTTAAGTTTAGTTCCTGGAAACCTGTCAAATCCTGTTGAGGTGGCAGGCAAAATATCTCTGTTGAGAATGGGGGCTCAGGTTTTTAGTATGTAAGAAAGAATAACAGAGTTGGAAGGGACCTTGGAGGTCTTCTAGTCCAACTCCCTGCTTAGGCAGGAAACCCTATAGCGGTGGTTCTCAACTTTCCCAAAGCCGCGACCCTTTAATACAGTTCCTCATGTTGTGGTGGCCCCCAACCATAAACTTGGTGTCTTGGTTCCTAAGACCATTGAAAATATGTGTTTTCCGATGGTCTTAGGCGACCCCTGTAAAAGGATCGTTTGACTCCCCAAAAGGGGTCGCGACCCACAGGTTGAGAACCACTGCCCTATAGCATTTCAGACAAATGGTTTTCCAATCACTTCTTAAAAACTTCCAGTGTTGGAGCATTTACACTTCTGGAGGCAAGTTGTTCCACTGATTAATTGTTCTAACTGCCAGGAAATTTCTCCTTAGTTCTAGGTTGCTTCTCTCCTTGATTAGTTTCCACCCATTGCTTCTTCTGCCCTCAAGTGCTTTGGAGAATAGTTTGACTCTCTCTTCTTTGTGGCAACCCCTGATATATCGGACCACTGCTATCATGTCACTCCCTAGTCCTTCTTTTCACTAGACAAACCCAATTCCTGCAACTGTTCTTCAGATGTTTT